TATTTTGTTTTATCCTTTTTCCTTCAGTTACCATTAAGTTTGTGGTCTTTGCTAATTTGTGGTTATTGGTGTGAACTTATATGCACTCAATTATGGAAATAGAGTTATTTTTTCAACAACTGCGAAAAGCTCAGGAGTTTTACTTGACATTTCCAAATGGACTGGATGTGAAGCAGGTACCATGAAATGAGCTCTTTTAAGTCTTCACACTAAAAAATGAGACACACGAAAGATTTGGTTGAATTTTTCAATCCAGGTTGCAACTGCTCAAAAAATGAGACACACGAAAGATTTGGTTGAATTTTTCAATCCAGGTTGCAACTGGCATCTGAGTGCAAGCCCTCTGGCTGAGACTGAGAAGAATAGCAAACAGGTAAAGGATGGTTAACCTGGGTAAGGACGGTTTAAAATCTTTAACTTCTTTTTACTAGATTGAATCATTTAAAATTGCCATTTTGGGGGGATGCCTGGGTGGCTCAGTTGGTTGAGTGTCAGACTCTTGATTTAGGATCAGGTCATGATCTCAGGGTTGTGAGATCAAGCCCCACGTCAGGCTCTGTGCTCAGTGGGGAATCTGCTGGAGATTCTCTCCCTCAGCCCATCTGTGCTCGCTTGCCCAAGTGCACTCTCTCAAAAATAAATAAATCTCTTTAAAAAAAAATAATAAAATTGCCATTTCTGTAGGTCAAAAATAGAATATCAACAATTTTGTTTAGTTTAATGTAATTTACTTTATATTGTTCTTTACCATTTCAGAGCCTTCTCCACAGGTCCCAGGAGCACACAAAAAAGAACAGAGTTGGTACTGGAGACAGTCCTTTATGAAGGTAAAGGCAAAACTGTTCTTACGTATTACTGATCTCCCCCAGCTGTGACAGTCACGATTCCCACACCCCTGCTAACTTCAGGCTTAAATTACTAAACCCAAAGTGAAAAGGGAAGAATCAGATCTCTCATTTCCATCTCTGACCTCTTCATTCATTCCTCATTACTCTTCTCTACCAGAGGAGTGATGTATCTGATTGGTGAGTGACAAGAGCCTGACATCTGCTGATTCACCATTCATTCATTCATTTCTCCAACGGATGGGGTTCACATATTAGGAAGCTACACAAATTCAAAAGAAATAGTTCTGAGTATGAATGACTGCTCCACAACCTCTAATTCTTAGGTGAGTCATCCTATATAGACTTAGGATGTCCATTTGGCCACAGATCAATTATGTTCTCCAATATGGTTGAATAAAGCTAAATTTTTATTTCCATCTGGCTTCTATATTTCTCAATGTGTTCTAGATTCAGAGGTGGAGGAAAAGATACAATCAACAATGAACTATCACATATAACCAGACATGTTTAACATAGGATAACAGTTTAATAAGTACAGTACAGACATGAAACAATATGAACTCATAAAATTTATAATTCTTTTAATAAAAAGAGACAAAAAAGATTTTTTACATAATCCTAAATAAATGTTAAAAAGCAGAAATACAATATGGTATACTGTGAATGCCTCTGAAAAAAGTAATGAATCATGCAGGCAAAAAATGTAAAGTATTATGCAAAGAAATAAAGCTAAAATAATGAGAAAACAGATTTTTCATTTTTTAAAAAAATCTTCTTAATGTTGTTATAGTATCTTTTGGTACCAATGACTCAAGACAAAACCTGAAAGGAAATGTGTAGAGAAAAGGAGCTCCCGGAATACTGCGACTCCAGATGTTTTTAGTACCTTTTTATTGTCATTATAATGCTACATCATGTACCAAAAGAAATTTTAATAAATCTAAATCAGACTGCTTCGAGTGCCCTACCCTCCTGTGTATACTGGGAGTTCTGTGTCCAGGAAGCCATCTATCTTATTTTCTGCATCGGAGGCAGCAGCCGCAAGCCACTCTTGCACTGAAGTGATCCATTTAGTAAGCTGAGAAGCAGATCAGAGGTCTCACTGGCTCCAGGTCATGGTCAGAAGCTTTCAAGTAATCAATGAAACCCTCAGGTAGCCATGGGCTCAATTCCCCAGGTTACCACCAGGAGCCTCAATACAGCAATGTCCTTCCTCTCTACAAACTGCTAGCAACATTTTTAGATTCATTCTCCACTGACCCTCACACAATACTCAAACAAAACTCCCATTTAACTGGAAACCCTCCTCCCACCCTCACTCCAGCTTCACCCACTCTCTCTCTCCGAGACCCACTTAATAAAAAATTTTTAAAAATACTGATTTTGTTAAAAGTTTTGCTTGGACTAAGCCTCTTCTAACACATCTAGTATTTTAAGAATTCAGCTATTAGTAAACAGAAAATAACCTTTTCTCTGTACAAGGAATTCTGGCTGAAGAAAAACAGAACAAAATTCAGCATAAGCTTTTGCTGAAATTATAAACTAAAATATGGAAAAGGAAAATAACTTCGGTTTCTATTTATAATTTTTTAAGTGTTTTATCCGGAAACATGAATATAAAACCTTATAGCTTATGAATATTATTGAGATAGTTTTCCTCACCTCATTGCGTATCTGAATTCCATCTACCCTGTAAGGCTCCAATACGTGATGCCTTGTTTTAACTTCCCAATGAGGGAGTTTTACCTTTTCCATGAAGTTTAAATAATGGCTAAAATGTATTAAAACTCACTGCATGGCAGGTACATTGGCCTACATACCTAGGATGTGTTAATTCATTTAATCCACACAATCCTATGAGGTAGATATTATTTTCCCCAATTTACAGACAAAGAAACAGAAGCACAAAGAGATTCTAAGTAATTTTGCCCAGGTTACAAAGCCAGTTAAGTGGTGGACCCAGGATTTGAATTCAGGCAATCTTGTTCCAGGCATACTACTATGTCATTTGACTTCTCTCCCCTCCTAAACACTCCAGTTTTCCCAGAGGCTGCAGCCTACCAATCTCACCCTTCTACTGTACTTGTTACATACGCCCCACAATAAGCTTATCACACTCTCTGTATACTCTGTTGTTTTCTTATTTGCTTCATATGTGTTTGCACTTGTTGTCCATCTAAATTATAAGATCCTTGCAGGCCAGGCAACCATGACATTTGCTTCTTGTCCCTACTTCCAGCAGAATGCTGTGTATAAAACATTCAGCTAAGAAGCTGACTGATTTAAATCCCTGGCAATTTCTGTATCATAAAGATAGGGTTTTTTTCTGTTTTTTAAATGCAAAATATAATTTAAAAAGGAGCAAACTGACATACTCAGGCATGATGACAAGGGAATTCTACAGAGTGAAAACTGGGCATAATCCTGCCCTTGCTATAAACCCTAAGGGACATGAAGCCACAGGCTATGATTCGGCAAAATTAACACCTGAAGGATAGCTCATGCCACCAGCGACAGATTTAGCAATACTAAAGTTAGGAAAATGACTACCTATATTTATTTTTCTTCTTAATGCATCTCCCCCGATGAGTCATATCTATAAAACTGACAGACCAATGTTTTTCCATTTCCTGAGAGACTTACATTTAAAGAAAATCAGATGAAGTTTCTTCAGCATATGCATAATCAGTAAGCAACAATCTGTGTTATCAGGAATAGCACACAGGGAAACACATACTAAAATCAAAAAGGCTTCCAGGCCTGGCAAGCATAATAAATTTTAAATAATGTTTTTCAATCCATCAAAATGAGAAAAATAGGAGTTCAAAGACATGAAAAGTCTTGCAAAGCACACTCTAATCGGCCCATGTACTAAGGCACTTCAGAGTTAACCAAAAAACTTAAAACTGGATATTTAGAAGTACACAGACTATAAGTAAAAGAAAATATCCTTAGTAAAACAGGAATTTTACTCAAACATTTCATCAAGCTTCCTGAGTATAATTCTAACATAAAAATCTGGGGGACTACAGATCTTAAGATAATTTTCAGAGGATAAAGGAGAGAGGATTAGGGTTTTATGGGCTTCTTACTGAACACCAATTGTCCAATGCACTGCTAACAGTTTTACTTTACCCACAAATAAATAAATATCAGAAAATTTTGCTAGCTTTCTAGGCAGCTGAGATTTCTCTGGAAAAGGCTAATGTGATCATGAAACACACACACACACACACACACACACAAATCATGATTATGGGATTTAATATTTTTTTCTTTTAGCATCTGTTAGCTTTCTAAAGCCAACCAAGTTGTGTGGCAATAGAAGCAAAAGCAAACCAGTGTTTCTTGTAGGATGAGATAGATGGTCTGTCTTTTTTATGGGCTCGAAATGATTAAAAACAGCATTTAATGCCACTTACTTGTACACTTAAAAATGGTTAAAATGGTCCAAAAAAAACTAAACAAGAGATTTTGAATCAATGAATGAAATGAGAAAAAAAAAATTACTCTGAATTTAATGTAAAATGGTATTCCAAGATGCAAACTAATGCCTTATTTTCAAATCATAGTTAAGATTTTTTTCCCAGAACCATGAATGCTACATTACATACAGAACTGGAAATTAATTATAGGTCCCACCTTGAGATCTGGAAGGCAAGTAAATACCATATCCTGAACCTGGCCCCCAATTCCAATCATACCAAACCACCATGTTTGTTAGAGGCCATCTCTAAAAACCAGTACCTCTGTGTAAAGCTGAATGGTGACTTCAATTACAACTCATTCTGGCCTGCTCTTTACTTGGCTGTCACACCACCAAAGCAGTCTATAGCACTGTTATTTCACAAACAACACAAGCTTTTTTTCTTCTCTCACACAATATACACAATTAAGGAAGTAGAAAACAGAATTGAAAACACCACCAGGTTTAAAACAACACAGATCAAGGAGTTTCCTCTCTCTTTTGGTTTACCAAAAGTAACATGCCAAAGGCCCAACTACTAAAAACACAAATCTTTCTAAGGGCTACTCTTGCCCACATTTTTCTTACACATTCTGATGTTTTGCTGCACTGGGAGGTGAAAATCTGTCATGGTTTTAACATCCACCTACTACATACGGAATCCCTACAGCCAAAGGAAAACTTACCTCTGCAAAATGTGTTGATGTGCTATTGTCTATCCGGCTGCCACCACTACCTAAAAAACTGAAGAGAAAAAGGAATGAGTACTGATTCTATTCCTAGGAACAAGCTTCCCTCCCAGAAGCTAAATATAGAATGGTACAATGAGAACAAGGCCCAATAAGGAAAAATAACTCATCCCAACGTGACACCTACGAAGGAAATTATGAAGAACTGGCATGTGGATTAATCTATGGAAAATATTGTAACAAACTACAAAATCAAGTACAAATCAAGTGAAAAATTGGAAAGACAGGCCACCACAAAGTAGGAAGAAGGAACTACAGCCAGCAATGCAATTCAAATCTGACCTGGCAAAAGAAGAAAAACATTTATTCTCAAGGAGGCAAAGAAATAAAACAAGATTCTCAAAATAATGTTTGCTAAAAAATCATTCAACCACCAGGTGAACACAACATTTGAGCCTACTTGGGAATGATTAAATATAGTACTATAAGGGGTCTGGTACTATAGTTAGCACATTATAAAAGATCTCAATAAATATTTTTTTCTTGATAGTCTATCCTATTCTTTCATTATCCTACCCATCCTTCAGGGCCCATCTCAAATGCTACCTCCTCCTTTTCTGAACTCACCAACCAAACGAGGATCCACACCCCTCTGCACTCTGACTCTGATTCTAAATTCTACCTTATTATAAATATCTAGAATTTATCTCATCCACTTCTAACCCTTTCCCTCCTTTCATAAATATAAATGCAGTGCGCCTGGGTGGCTCAGTCGGTTAAGCGTCTGCCTTCAGCTCAGGTCATGATCCCAGGGTCCTGGAATGGAGTCTTGCATCCGTCTACCTCTCCCTCTGTCCCTCCCCTCTGCTCGTTCTCTCTCTCTCTCAAATTAATAAATAAAATCTTAAAAACATATATATAAATAAAACACATATATATGTATCTATAAATTCAGAGGGTAAAGACTATGTTAATACCACAAATATAGGTAAAGTGTTTATTGTGTGTCAGACATTATACAGAGCACTCATCACTTTTGAAAAACCCTGCAACGTCACATCATATATCGATAACTTGAAAATAAAAGTTGTTGAGTTAATACTGAATGTGTAAATAGGGGCGCCTGGCTGACTCTTGTCGGTAGAGCATGTGACTCTTGATCTCAGGGTTGTAAGTTCAAGCCCCATGTTGGGTGTAGAGATTACTTAAAAAAAAAAAAAATGTGTAAACAATAAAATAACTACTCCTAAAGACTAGGGAGAAATATTCGATCCCATTGTTCCCATGAAATCTGCAAAAAAGGAGACTAAAATGGCCAACATTTTGTGGCGAAAGGAATGGGAAGAATCACAAGAACTACTAGTTATCACTTTTACTTCAAGAAACACAAGCCTATGCACAAACGTGTACACACACTCACCCCAAATACAAATCTACAAACTACTACAGATAGCTTTCATTTTCAGAACACCAATCCAGGCACTGCGCTCAGCTAATTGAGGAAACAAACACACTTTGGTTAGTCTGAAACCAAAAGTGAAAAAGCAAAGCTAATGCCATTTTCTATGTAGTCATGCTCAGGCCTTATTCACTAATTAGAAACCATTAAACACTTGCATTTGTTTCAGAAGTTAAAAACATTCAAATGTAGAACAAGCCCAGATGTACTGGTATATTTATGCTAAATAAGTAAATAATTCAACTACCACTGTGTACCCACTTTATTGCTCAAGCCTAGACAGGCTTCCCAGGCTCCTTCCTGCCTTTACTACATTGTTTCAAGGATTCAAATATCCTTGGTAATTAAAGTTATCAACTCTGTCTTTATAGTTCTGCTCCCCCTGAAACTTCCTCAGCATTCCCTTTCCTTCAAATTCCTCCATATTTTAAGAGTGACAGGGCTAATCATAGAGGAGGGATAATAAAAACAACCACATTGTTCCGAGAGATGTTACAAAACTTAAGAAAACTTACAAGATGCCCTTCTGATCAATGCCTAGCAGCATATGGAGCCCATTATCCAACATTTACCTGTAAGGACCTCCTATCAGTACTTTTTACCATCCACTACTTACCATTGTAATCGCTAAGTATTCAAAAATCAGCAAATGTTTATGAACTTAATAGAAAGTGAATACCATGATACCTCTAAGATACTGATTCTAAGAAAAACATTTCTTCCACCACTTAAAACATCGATCCTTCAAAAGACCTCAAATCTGTACATTTGAGCATTTGCTACTAATAGCACCTGTACAGGTCAATCTTTGGCCTACAAAGGCACAAATAAAAGAATTAAATCAAGTGAAAGCAGGATCCATAAAATTCATAGTTCCTTTCTAAAAAAAGATTCATCCTGCAGGTAATCACTATCCGCATTTATAACCATACTTTGTACACAGGGCTAAAGAAACCAGGATTACTACTTAAAAAACTTAGGGAAAAAAAAATCCATTAACTGCCTCCCAACAACCAATATGCTCTTTATTTAACACATGCAGAACACAAGGGTTTGCAGGAAGTATTTGATGCCATTATAACAGCATACATAAAAAGCTGCCCCAAGTTAGCATGCTATTCACACAAAATTTCTCATTTCACTGTCATGCTAATCTTACAGATTTAGAGCTGGTATTGTTATTCAAAACCAAGATTATTAGATCACCATGTAAGTGTTCCAAACTTGATCCCATGCCATATACTGCCCCAGAAGCTCCAGTTCATTTATATATATATAATTACCACTCATTAATAAAGTTAAACTAATAGTACATACTGTAAAATGTGTAGTTTTTCCTGGTTGTGGAAGTGACCTTCAACTTTAGAGTCTGCCAACAGCAACAGTAAAGGAATTATTTATGTCCATTAAAATCTCCAAAGTCACTCCAAGATTAAAAGAAGCTTCAGATTACAGGTTCTTTTAATCCAGTCAGATTTCTTCAATTGTCCAACCAAATTATCTAATCACATAGCCACAAAAGAACAAATGTGCCAAAAAAGGCCACCCTACCAATGCTATTCTACTTTTTATTAAGTTTTTATAGTTTTATTCATATTAACCAAGAAGTATTATAAAATACTGTCACCTTCAGAAATAGTTCCCCCTTTTATGGGTTTTATATCTTTAGTAAGACCAATGAGAGCCCATTTCAAGCATTATGAACCCAATTAATATTACAGCAATAAGATGGCGTAAGTCTGACTGCAATAATTTTAGTAAGAATAAGGATCCTAAGGCTTCCTCAAAGCAGAGTAATAACTCAGTTTCCCTGGCTAGACCAGCCTGTTTACCTTATTAGATATCTTTGTCAGAAGTCACCCACGAGCCAACCAAAGAGGTATAACAGCGATTTACCTTTAGGCAACAGCATGGTCACTAAAAACCACCCAATAATCTAAAGGGACACCAAAGACTCAGAAAATAAATAAAAATTTACCAGATTTACTCTGATATGGATATAGAGGTTTCAAAGGAATGCCACACACAATCAGAAGCAGTGGATCTCATCACACCCACTATCAGATCACGTCCCAAATTTTCCCATTTTTATTAGCCTTCCCTCTTCTTCCCTCTCTCCCTCTTATGCAGAGAGCATAAGTTTTAAGACAAATTTCTTTCTATTCATTCAGCTGATGCTGATAGAAAATAATTTGGTTAACAGAACGCCTGATTTATTCATGAGCTTGTACAATACCTGGAATCATCTGTCACTTCTTCAATAAAGCCTGATTCACATCTGGGACAAATATATTCCTATAAAAGAAAGGAAGAAATAAAAGTCTTTCATTAGAAAGCTAAGCATACAGTTTCAGAGTAATACGCAGTATACAAGCTGATGTGAAGAAATGTTACATGTACTTGCTGATTCCAAGGATAGTTTTTTTTTATTACACTCTGGCAAATAAAGAATTCGATAAGAAGTTCGCAGAATGGCTTCCTAAGCAGTTCCCCCCTGGAGATCTCCCACTGAGAGGAAGAATGTCAGATTTTTGTTTTTTAATTTGGGTTGATTTTTTAAAAACTGGAATAAATTCATGATCTAATTTTCTCTTCAAATCTAATGAAAAATCTCCACTAGTTATCAGAACAGTGTAAGATTATAAAACTGATGGGTACAAAACTGTTATTTTTTTACTATATACATGTAGAAGACACAAACTGAATCACAGTATAAATCAACTGGTAGACTAGGAATTTACAATGAAGTTTTACAGTATTTCTTTTTTTTTTTTAAAGATTTTATTTATTTGACAGAGAGAGACACAGCGAGAGAGGGAACACAAGCAGGGGGAGTGGGAGAGGGAGAAGCAGGCTCCCCGCCGAGCAGGGAGCCTAATGTGGGACTCGATCCCAGAACCCTAGGATCATGACCTGAGCCGAAGGCAGACTCTTAACGACTGAGCCACCCAGGCGCCCCAGTTTTACAGTATTTCTAATCTATTTTTTGACTACCAATGGTTCCAAATAAAAGTTAATATTCCCAGGCATTTAACAGAAATATTAATTCGAATAACTGGAACAATTCCATTAAATCAGCTTCTATTTCCTTCAGTACCATGAATCTTTCTTTTAAATAAATATCAAGCATTGGCAGTGATAAGAAAGAATACACTTAGGGGCACTTGGGTGGCTCAGTCGGTTAAGTGTCTGCCATAGGCTCAAGTCATGATCCCAGAGTCCTGGGATAGATGTCTGGCTCACTGCCCAGCTCAGCAGGGAGTCTGTTTCTCCCTCTGTCCTCCCCCCACTCATGCTCTCTCTCTCTCTCTCTCTCTCTCACTCTATCAAATAAATAAATTATTAAAAAAGAAAAAGAAAGAATACACTTTAAGGGTGCCTAGGTGGCTCAGTCAGTTAAGCATCTGACTCTTGATTTCAGCTCAAGTCATGATCTCAGGGTGGTGAGATCAAGCCCCCAGCTGGGCTCCACATTCTGCATGGAGTCTGAGTTTCTCTCCCTCTGCCCCTCCCCCAGCTCATGCACTGGCTCCTGTGCTCTCTCTCTCAAATAAGTAAATCTTAAAATAATAATAATAGTAATAATATACTTTAGAGACTGCCTTATATACTTTTATTTTTTTTACCATCCTAAAGTATTTTATCATCCACTTACCGTACTTCTTAAAAATATATTTTAACTACCTATTAAAATAGACATTTTCAACTATTTTCTTGCTCCCTGTATTCTCTAAACCCTAAATAAACTTTGTCTTATCAGAAAGTGATGTAAGCCGTATTTGGCCAGTCAAAGACAGTCAGAATGGTAACTTAAATATTCAAATGCTTTCTTAAAAAAGATCTAAAGAGAGGTGCCTGGGTGGCGCAGTCGGTTAAGTGTCTGACTCTTGGGTCTCAGCTCTGGTCATGATCTCAGGATCTTGGGATCAAAACCCAAGTCAGGGTCCGAGCTCAGCAGGGAGCCTGCTTAAGATTCTCTCTACTGGGGGCACCTGGGTGGCTCAGTTGGTTGAGCATCTGCGTTTGGCTCAGGTCATGATCCCACGGTCCTGGGACTGAGCCCCGATTTGAGCTCCCTGCTCAGTGGAAAGTCTGCTTCTGACCTCTCCTTCTGCCCAGCATCCCCCCTACCCCGACCCCGACCCCACCCCCCGCCCCGCTCGTGCTCTCTGGCGCTCTCTCTCTCACTCGCTCTTGCTGTATCTCAAATAAATAAAATCTTTAAAAAATAAAGGTTCTTAAAAAAAAAATTCTCTCTCCCTCTGCCCCTCCCCCTTGCTCTCTCTCTAAAAAAGGAAATAAATAAATCTTTAAAAAAAGAAAACCAGGGGTGCCTGGGTGGCTCAGTCATTAAGCATCTGCCTTCGGCTCAGGTCATGATGCCAGGATCCTGGGATCTAGCCCCGTGTTAGGCTCCATGCTCAGCGGGAAGCTTGCTTCTTCCTCTCCCACTCCCCCCCACTCCCCCTGCTTGTGTTCACTCTCTTGCTGTCTCTCTGTCACATAAATAAATAAAATTTAAAAAAAAAAAGAAAGAAAGAAAGGAGGAGGGGCAAACCAAGGATAATGACCCATATATGTCTGGCACTATGGAAATTTCTCCTCTGCTTCAACATTAACACATCAAATCATCACACTAACCCCACCACCACCAAAATACTGCCAACATATATAGTCCCCACTGTCACAAAGTCTTATCAAAAAAATTCATTAGGTCATTTCTATCATTTCATCTGTAAAAGAGAAGTAAAACAAACCTAGGTTAATTACCCAGAATCTTTGGAATTTGGAACCTTGTTGTTTGCACCAAACTAAGCTGCTTTCCCCCCCGAGGGTCTAAAAGTTTATTGTATAAAACTCTAGTGAAGATACTCAGTAGCAGGTACACTTGAATGAACTGCTTCAGATGGTCCACTGCCTGTTCCATCTAAAAATACCCATAAACAGAAATATTTTTCACTGTTAATCGTCTGAATCAGGAACAACTCCCTAAGTATAGCCTAGCCCTGATGCTTACCCACTTAGAAGAATAGCACAAGAGTGCACTTGTAATACTGAAGAGAAAGGGAAGGGTGGTTTTAATGCATTATTTTCTTTCCCTTAAAATTCAAGGGATCAATTATCAAAATATGTTAGGTTTTAGCAGGACAATGAGCTACAAGCCAAGACTTATTTATATTAAGTCCCACACTGAAATGTGGATACTCTTGAACTTTATGCAAATTTGTATCCAATATTTATTCAGAACATGAAACAGACTTTCTACTTATTTCCTAATTCCCACAGCTTTGCTTTTCTACATGTTCACTGTCAGCATCTAAGTAGTTTTTTTATTTTATCTAAAATAGAAGCCTATTTACCCCAAAGATACAAATGTAGTAATCCAAAAGTGATCCCCAATGTTTACAGCAGCAATGTCCACAATAGCCAAACTATAGAAAAGAGCCCAGATGTCCATCGACAGATGAATGGATAAAGATGTGGCGTATATATATACACAATGGCATACTACTCAGCCATCAAAAAAATTGAAATCTTGCCATTTGTAATGATGTGGATGGAACTAGAGGGTATTATGCTAAGCGAAATAAGTCAGATCAAGACAATTATCATATGATCTCACTCATATGTGGAATTTAAGAAACAAAACAGGATCACAGAGGAAGAGAGGGAAAAATAAAACAAGACAAAATCAGAGGAGACAAACCATAACAGACTCTTAATCATAGGAAACAAACTGAGGGCTGCTGGAGGGGAGGAGAGAGGGGAGGGGGTGAGGTAACTGGGTGATGGATGTTAAGGAGGGCACGTGATGTGATGAACACTGGGTATTATGTAAGACTGATGAATCGCTGAACTCTAATTCTGAAACTAATAATACATGTTAATTAATTGAATTTAAATTTAAAAAAATAAAACAGAAGCCTATTTTCTGTCTTGTCTGACAGTCAAAAACTAAGATCACAATATTTAGTCCTATCCTCTTGTTCATATTCTCTTTGAGTATCACCTCGCAAAACCGTTCAGAAATTCTTAATTGGAAGAATTAGGAACATGCACTGTTTGAAACACGTCATAGCTCCTAGACCAGAACCCACCACACCCTGAATTTCATGCCAGCTCACATCTGTAGGTCAAAGACACTGCTTTTTTCTAGAGACATTTTCCATAAATCCCCTATGATCATTTCTTTTCAAACCAAGGTATACTTCATCCCTTTTCAAAAGCATCGAGTGTACCCCAAAACAAAGATAACAGAACTCTAGAGTTCTGTTTCCAGTTCCAGCATTACCTTCATGGTCTTTGTGAAGACCTATTTTTCTATCTGTAAAACTAGAGCACAAATGCTGTCCTTTTACTTGTCTCCCCCAACTCTACTTCAGGAAAACAAGAAAGTCTCACTCATTCATGTGGCCAACTACTCATTTAAAAGGAAGATGAAAGTTTCCAGTTTAAGCATTTGAACTCCAAAAATCTTAAGTGACTGTTCCCTTGGCTATTAATCAGAAAGAAAACCGGTTTACAAAAAAAAAGAAAAAAGAAAAAAGAAAAAAGAAAGAACATCCAGCTACATACAGTTTAAGTGTTATACAAAGATACCTATACAATTTAAATACTGTTTGAAGAGCTGTGATTCAGTTCCAGGCCAATAAAACTGCTTTGATTTATGGTCTCACTCCCTAAGAATAGTAACATATACAACCTTCATCATTTTGTTCCTTCATTCCAGGCCATGACTGAACATTGACAGTATCAGGGACTCCAAACAGGAGTGTATATCAACCAACCTTCTTCAGCACATTGTGAAACAAGGCAGAAAATTAGGTCACATGGGACCAAACATCCTTGATACAAGCTTGATCAGATGAATAAGCAGCCAAATTTTCTAAGAAAAAAAAAAACAGACTAAACTACAAAAATTATCAGAGAAAAAGTTAACTTCATGTAACACAATACAGCCAGAACAGATTTAGTTATAATGTTCTGTGCTTGCTCCCACTAAAGGCAGCAAGAAGGAGGACAACCCAGTGGCACAGATATAAAATGGTAAATGATACAAAAAGTTTGCCTTTAGCTCTGATGTGTTCCACTGGTTTGGAAGAAAACTTTTATCTTCTTACATTCAGCTGAGGCTGACAGAATCTTCTTACATAAACTGACAACATTCATTCTCCCAGAAAACATATTTGAAGCTCTCCATTCCCAGCACTGTGGAGAAAGAAAAGCATGCTTGGTAGGGAAAGAAAAATAACGGGATTAAAAGTCACTGAAATCATGTACAAAGTATACGTTCT